TTGCATTCAGTGGCTCTGCAGACGTGTCGCTTGCGAGACTCTGCAACGGTCCATCTGTCCCAGCCTCGCGCTGCTGCCGTGTCGTAGCCGCAGCCTTATCGCCTGGCCGACGCACTCGCTACACAGTGGCCAATTAAAATGGAATCCCATGCGCATTTCGCTGCAGGGTGCATTGCCCACATACGTTTCCCATCGTGGGGCATCCACCAACCCCCTGGTCGCCTCAGCACCGCGGGCGGATTAACAGCTACACGCCTGTGCACTGCTTCGGTGGATTCCTAGCCGCCTGGAGTGATTATCTCTGATAATTTGCAATGAGCTGACCTTTCTTGGTTAACCCCGTCCCCTCCATACGAGCCCAGCGATGCACCGCTCCACAGAGACGCACACAGAGACTCTCCCCTCTGTACAGGGACAACAGGAAGATCCCCCGTGTAGTCTGAACAGACTATTGTGGGGCGAGTGCTGTTCACGAGCACTTCTATGAAGGTCGGCACTGTACACCGAGGGGGTGGGTGGCCAGCACCACGTCCGACCGCCTTTGTCTCCCCAGTGGAAAAGTTTACACACCGCACCAGGTACTCGTTTGAGGCCGAGTTGAACTAGGCGAGGCCCAGGACCGGTTCAGATAAGCGTCACTGGTGTTGACCGAGGGCGGGAATCTAACACGGGTCGCCGGGTTCGTTTCGCAGCGCACGAACCGCCGCACTTTCACTCCCCGCAGAGAGACACGCACAGAGATTTAATCTCTCCAAACTGTGAGCGTTGGTCAGCGGACAGACCCTGCCCTTGCCCACCTCGCTCGAAGGAAAGTCAAGCGGTGATCGGAGCATTCCTGCACGGCGCGCCCGCCCTTCCGTTCTGCAAAGCTGCTCACAGCACCCCCCACCCAAACACGCTTGGGGTGCCGCAGCGGCGAGATGTTAACCGTCTCACCTGGTAGGCAGGAGTGCGTGGCTTCGATCCCGACCCTGACATCTGTATAATTGGAGTATGCATGTTTCTCCCCGTAGTCGCATAGATTTTTCTCTGGGTTATCTGGTTTTTCCCTCCACATTTATAAACATGTGTTTAAGAGTGCATGGGCTGCTGGAAATATCCACGTGATGAGCCACTTCGTTGAGCCGTCGTGTGCGGCCAGGCGGCTGCTGAAAAGGAGCTACGTAGCTCAGTGGGCCTTACCCTGGTAAAATATAAACATTTTTGCTTAATTATAACTTCCTTATGAATTCTAGATTTTAAGCTTCCTTATGAATGCCCTGGGGCTGTCGAAAGGTAGCTCGTGTCAGCAATGAAGGAGACAAAATACTGGTAAAAAAAAGATATATATAGAACAATAATAATGTATAATTGAAGTTCAAAACCGCTGACATTACCGCTTCTATTTGTTGCTTCTCGTAGCCAGCGGGGGCGACGTGCAACTCGCGCCGGGTTTAGCCGTCAAGTTTTATCCTGGGCAGCCTAATCCGATAATCCAAGAAGCCTCTGCAGTGCCGCAGTCACCCACCCTCTGCAACATCCCCTGAGCGCAGACTCCCTCCACCGCCTGTGTTGTACCGCCACAGTCACACGCACGTGCATGCACGATGCATGCAAGCGCAGACGCGTGCGGCGATGCACGCGCAGACGCGCGGCGGTGCAAAAGTACCCCCCCCCCCTTGCCCTCCCGTGCAGCTGCCTCCCCCCCTCCCCCCGCTACGAGCTCCCAAATCCGCCCTGGAGCTGGAGACAATCCGCCACCGTCATTTGCATGGGCGATCATCCCCCGGCAAGGCATTCATGCACTGCCGAGTTTAGTCGGGTGGTCGGGTGGGTCTGAGGTCAGAGGCGATCACAACCTTGACCAGTTTGCACAAATCTGATGGTTCAATTGCTGCAATAGGGACACTTGGAAGCATTCTGTGTAGCGCTCGGGGAAACGTCTGCGTGGTGCTGTTCCGATTGTCATGAACCATCCTTGCAGCGTGCGCTCCGCTGCAAGGATGCACGGATTTCAACAAAGCTGTGAGGTCATAAAATATTAAAGACAGCCAATCCATGTGACCACAGTCTACCAGGTTTGCATTGCACAAGGAACGCATTAATGAGTGTCAAAGAAAATAAGGGATTCTAGTCGTCTAATGAAAGGACAACACCGTACATTCATTGATGTGTGCTTTACCGTCTCACCACCAGCAGAACAGAGCCAAATTGTACCCCCGGCAATAAACTGCTATTCAGCAAGCAATGAATTTGTTCAAATTGTCAATTAATTGGCGGAAATAATTGCCCCTCGATGTGCAATTGCAGGACGCTGGCTGCACGAGCGGTGGGGGGGAGGGGCCGTGGGCAGGCGCCCCGCAAACGCAAGCTGCGGCACCGTTGTCAGGTGAGGTTTCTTTCTTTTTCATGCGGATTGCGTTATCAGCGGCGACACGCCGCGCGATGATGGATCAGTTCAGATCTCTCGCAGAGCCACAGAAGCGGACGTCACAACTACCTCCCGAGATCCCTTTTGGTCCACGTGGTCGAGCGCAGATACCTTGGTCGCCCACTCTGCATTACTAAACTATGCTTTTGTTACCAGGGAAGTGACCTGGCCACTTCAACGAGGTGACTTGTCGTGTGTAAATGTATAGCAGCCAAATGCTCTAAATGAATGTGTCTAAATGTGGAGGGAAAACCCGGAGGACCCAGAGAGAAATGTACCCAATCACGGGGAGAACATGCAAACTCCAAATATATAGGTGTCAGGGTCGGGATCGAACCCACGACCTCCTGTATACCAGTCGAGGTAGTGAACACCCTGCCACTGTGGCACCCCTTATAGTGGTAAGGTTAGTTGCAAAGCAGTGAAAAGGAATTTAAAAAATTCCGAGCTGGTATGCAACCAAAAAAGTGTAAGTGCATAAACAAATTAACATGGGGTTTGTTTGCGTGTGAAGTAATTTGTGATTTGTCTAAGACCATCAACTCACTACACTTGAGAATGTGCTTTAATTACAGGTGTCTGGAACCTGGATTTAAAGCTCAAGATCTCAGTGGTGTTGGCTCAGCACTGGCTACCAAATGCTTTTACTCCAGCTCTAGGCCACACCGTGCAAGAACAAAGATAACAGACTGTTGTGGAGTAAGTCCTGTTTGCGAGCACCTGTGAAGGCCGGCAAGGCACACGAGGGGGTGGGTGGCCAATACCGCCCCCGGCCGCCTTTGTCTCCCCAGCACTGATGTTTCCACATTGCACTGGATACTCAGTTGAGGCCGAGTCAACCTCGGGAAGGCCCAGGACCGGTTTGAATATTCGTCACCGTTATTGGTCCGTAAGTAGGAATCGAACTCGGACAACCAGGGTTCTCGGCGCAGCGCGTGACCTGCTGCACTACCGCAAGAACACTAGCACACACACGCACGCCTAAAACGCACACGTCCATCACTCGGCATGTGTGCATTTCTTTTTGTTCCTGGCCGTGCCGACGTGCGCATGCACACACGACTGGCCGCCCCCCCCCCCCCCCCCATTTAAATTCAATTCAGTGTCCTCCCTCTCGATGCACGGGAGCTCGTTGACATTCATTACCTCCACTTTCAAAAGAAGGCCTGGCAAAACAGGATTTAAGTGGCGATCGTTGCTATGATTGGGAGTTGGTCGAATGTCCTTTTCGGAGTGCTTCTGAGAAAGAAATTAACTTTGACCACGTGAGGCTTTCAGAATTAAATAAAAGTAACCTTTTAACATGTTTACTATAATACACAAAAACATGACGGCCTCTGTGTTAATCCACTGCTGGATGATATCCTCCCTACGCTGTGCGAATCACGGGGGTTATTTTGAGCATACTTCACCAGCCTGGGTAATCGAACAAAGTTTGCTGGGTTCCTATAAAGGTGTGCCAACCACTGCGGACAATTAGTCCACCTCAACCGCAATACAAATATTGAAGTTTAGAAAACTGGTATAGGACACCAATGCACAGCGGTATCGTGCACTTACAAAATCGATCACAGGATACTCAATGTCAGCTGTGTGCCTTAGATGCAGAGGCAACACTGGCACATGGTCGTGGGCTAGCGATCACACTTGCTGCTCGCACCCCCAATCCACTTTGCAAGGGAGCTACGGTGTCGTTTCTGCAAACGACCGCAGGTGCATGCAGGGCACCACGATGGCACCATATTAACTACCTCGCCCCGTATGCAGGAGGTCGTGGGTTCAATCCAGACCCTGAAGCCTGCATATTTTGAGTCTGCATGTTCTCCCCGTATTCGCACAGATTTTTCTCCGGGTCCTCTGATTTTTCTCTCCACATTTAGAATCGTGCGTTCAGAGTATTCGGCTGCGATAAATTTGCACGTGATGATAAACCACTTTGTCGAGCCATCATATGTGGCGAGGTCGCTTCTGAACACGGGCTATATCGCTCAGTGGGCCTTACCTGGCAATATAAACAAAAATTACATGGAATTACCAGAGCAGACCCCTCTGCACAAAACCACTGTTAAACATCCTCTAATGGCAAGGGTGCAGTGTTGTATGGGCGACAATCACTTTCATAACGGAACCACACACGCGCACAATACACATCCCAGGAGCTTCTGCTGCGGTGCATTGATTTGCACACTGGACTTGTAATCCAGTGGTCGCAGGTTCAATTCCATCGCCAGCTACGTCAGCTGAAATAATGGCCCAAGTTTCTCACAACCTCTCCACCTCCGTCCACTCAGCGGTGTTAATGGGTCAAGCTGCAGTTGGTAGATCGGCATGTGCCATGTGTCGGGGTACAGAGTGGGTAGTCACCTCTTCGAAATTGCCTGCCTAGCATGGAAGAACAGGCCAAATACCCTACATCAGAGGGACTTCTCTTGGGGCTCCCTCTGATGTAGGCCATTCTGCCAGCAAATGGTGCGAGCAAGGACATTGCAGGGCTGCACCTTTACCTTCGTCTGTTTTGCATGCACATCCCAAACACACACGCTTGCACGCCCGCACATGCCCCCGCGCATGCCCGCACACGCAGCTGCACCTCGAGCGGAGAGCTTCTTGGTGTTGATAATCTTGGCGGCAAAGTCCTGGCCGGTGGCGACCTTCACACATTTGCGCACGATGGAGAAGGCGCCCCTGGGAAAGGGAAAAAAAAACAAAAGCGGTTTTGAATGAAAAAATTCAAGACCGGCGGCTAGAATGTATGTTGAACTTCTTTGGCGCCGTACGTCGCCGACCGTGCTAATCGGAGAATGTGGGAGACAAACTGGCGCCTGTGGCCATTACCACACACAGCAGTCGCCAAGTCATCGCCCCCCCATTCACCGGTTTCTCTGACCGGTTAAACATCACAATGCCACCATTTACAGTCATCGTGCAAGCCGTACGCACCGAGCGATTGAATGTGCGCGAGGAGCAATTTTACAGTCATTCGATCTAGCCCCAACTTGTGTTTTGATGAAAACGAATCTCCATCCGCGTGACGCACACCGCATGCGAGTGCAAGCCAAACATATTCCAAAAGGGTAAAAGTTCGTTTCGTTGAAAAAAATATTTACACGGCCGCGTCACGAGACCACGAGAGGTGGCGGCCGCTTTGGAGGCCTTCACCCAGCAGTGGATTGAGCATGGCGAGATGGTGACGATTCGGAGAGGTAAATAAATATATATTTGAATTATTTTTTACGTATATATCGTAAGGCCCACTGAGCTATATAGCTGTTTTTCAGAAGCAACCCGGCCACAAATGATAGTTCAACAAAGTGGCTCGTCTTGTGGAAATTTAAAGCAGCAAAATGCTTGAACTACATGTTGATTCTGAACGTGGAGAGAAAAACTGGAGGACACGGAGAAAAGTCCACGTTACCACATTGGAGAACATGCAAACTCCAAATATAAAGGTGTTACAGGGAGTGGATCGAACCCACGACTTCCTGCGTACCAGGCGAGGGAGTTAACATCTCGCCATCATGGCGCCATGTATCGTGGAATGGGATACAGTCGACAGACTTGGAAGGACGGGGAACAGATATTTTGTCAAAGATCAAAAAACGTGCGGTGCTAGTGGCTTTAGTTTGGGGCACACGCAGGGCATTTGTGCAGGCACACGCATATACACACACAGTGTGTGTGTATATGTATGTATATTTACATATGCATACACACGCAGTGTGTAGTGTGTATGTAAGCACGTGTGGCAGGCAAAGGTGAGCGTAGAGCGCACAAGCAAACCAAAGCCGCTGTGTCGATAAGATAAGGCGTGGAGCCCCGTGAATGCCAAGGGGGTTGTTGGCCTGGGCTGCAAGGTAGCCGGGAGAGATGGTAATGCAGCACCGCAGTGGATTTTTGAAGCCATCGGTGTAGAGCTTCTAAGAGTTCGTCATGTGTATGCATGGCGGGGTTTTCATCGAGGCCTTCCTGTGCATATATATAAAAGCCACCGTTATATATCTATTTGTTTACTACGGCTGAATAAAGAAGGTGAACAGAGAAAGACGGCTAAAGCAGGCTAGGACAAGGATAAATGGGAATGTCTGCAAATACAAAGGTTGATAAGGGGGGGAAAGGGTGTGGCGGGCAGGTATGCATGTGTGTGTGCGCACGTGATCAACGGGCAGTCAACAGGTGAAACCGGCAGGTCTAGGCAGATAACGGGACGAGGAATGCACAACAGGCACGCAGGGAGAGAAGCAAGGAGGCCAAGCGCACACACACGTACGACACGCAGTGGAGGTACGCGAGGGCAGGTAGGGCATCCCTGTGTGTGCGTGCGTGTTCAAGCACACCATCGATTGTTAGCGGAGGGAGCCTGGTCCGCAAGAAGGTAACCCGGTAGGCCGGTAGGTAAGGAGGTTTGTAGGTAAGGAGGTTTGTAGGTAAGGAGGTTTGTAGGTAAGGAGGTTTGTAGGCAAGCAGGTAGGTAGGTAGGCAGGTGCAAAGGTAGCATAGGCAGGAAGGACAGGCAGCTAGGTAGTCAAGCAGGTAGGCAGATAGGCACGTGCAGAAGCGATGTGTTGAGCGTAAGAGTGAGCGTGGTGGGTGACACGGAGCGTGGTGGGTGGGTGGCACGGAGCGTGGTGGTGGGTGGGTGGTGGGTGGGTGGCAGCTGGCACGGTGTGTGGTGGGTGGGTGGTGGGTGGCAGCTGGCACAGTGCGTGGTGGTGGGTGGGTGGTGGGTGGGTGGGTGGCAGCTGGCACGAAGCGTGGTGGTGGGTGGTGGGTGGGTGGCAGCTGGCACGGAGCGTGGTGGGTGGGTGGCAGCTGGCACGGAGCGTGGTGGGTGGGTGGTGGGTGGGTGGCAGCTGGCACGGTGCGTGGTGGTGGGTGGGTGGTGGGTGGGTGGCAGCTGGCACGGTGCTGCTTTGTGGCCGTCGTGCGCGCGGGCGGTGAATGACGCGCGGCGGCACCGACCGACTCATGGGCGTGGGGGCGTCACACTGCTGGCATGAGAGAGATGCAAGCACAGCCAGAGAGAGATGCAAGCACAGCCAGAGAGAGAGACGCAAGCACAGCCAGAGAGAGAGAGAGAGATGCAAGCACAGCCAGAGAGAGAGAGACGCAAGCACAGCCAGAGAGAGAGAGAGATGCAAGCACAGCCAGAGAGAGAGACGCAAGCACAGCCAGAGAGAGAGAGAGATGCAAGCACAGCCAGAGAGAGAGACGCAAGCACAGCCAGAGAGAGAGATGCAAGCACAGCCAGAGAGAGAGAGAGACGCAAGCACAGCCAGAGAGAGAGACGCAAGCACAGCCAGAGAGAGAGATGCAAGCACAGCCAGAGAGAGAGACGCAAGCACAGCCAGAGAGAGAGAGAGATGCAAGCACAGCCAGAGAGAGAGACGCAAGCACAGCCAGAGAGAGAGATGCAAGCACAGCCAGAGAGAGAGATGCAAGCACAGCCAGAGAGAGAGAGAGATGCAAGCACAGCCAGAGAGAGACGCAGAGGCACGTGGAGACCGGAACGACGACATCCCCCCCCCCCGTCTGCGTAAACGCACGTGGAGGCACGACAATGTCATCAAAGCGAGATTCTACTTTCATGTTAATGGGAGAGCGGTGGCGGAGTGCTTATCGCACTGCGATTATGAACCCGGCTAAAACAACGACCGCGGCCGATTCGGCATGCGGCTTCATCCAGCAGTGGAGGAGCAAAGTGCTGTTCAGGTGCATGACCATACTTCACCACGCTGGTACGAGGCTGGGCTGATGCACGCGGGGAGCGTGAGCGTGCAAGCACAGAAAGTCGGCTCACAACGACGGATATTGCTGCACTGCGGCTCCGTTGCCAAGCACGCATCCTATAACACCTGTTCTGCACGGTGGTCGCCCATACAAGCACAATCCGTGGTGTGCGTGCGTGTGTGTGTGCGTGTGTGTGCGTGCTTGCAACTGGGTGCGAGGAGCGGTAGTGCAGCGGCGAAGTGCACCGCGCTTCGAACCCGGCGACCCCGAGTTCGATTCGCGATTATCGGAACCGGTCCTGGGTCTCCCCTCGGTCGAACTCGGCGAGACAAAGGCGGCCGGGCGTGGCGCTGTTCCACCGTAAACCCCCTCGTGTGCCGCTGTGCCTTCAAAGGTTTTGCTACTCGCTCATAGCAACTCGCCCACCCAACAGTCTGTTCAAGTCGACACTGTGGGGGGGGGGTATCTTAGTCTTGTTCTCATGCGGGTTTACTCACTTGCCCAGCTCCTCCATCAAGGTGTACTCGTCCGAGAATCGCGTGCACGTCGGCGGGATGGCCATTGTGTGACCTTCTGCTGCTGGTGGTGGTGCTGGTTGACGTTTGAGTTTCCTCCGCCTGGCTCCGGGGTTCGCGTTCTGCTCCGTGCGTCGCTTCAGCAGCGAGTGTCGCTCTCGCGTCATCCGCTCGCTCTTTAAAGGGCCGCGGAATCCTCGCCTCCCTATTGGTTCATATTCGCAAAGGGTAGGTGGGCGTGGTGGGTTTACGTATATAGAAAAACATTAAATAGGACAGTGTTCTGCTGGAGTCATATGATCAGAATACGAATTTGTATTCATACAGTGCTGGGGAATCCGATGAGCTACAAAGCTCTTTATCACGCATGTCCAGTAAGAGAGATGAGCAGGGGGAGGGGTGTTTATGTCTGTTTCTGAGATGGATGTGGGGTTTGCATAAATATAACGAGGTGAACGGAGCTTATTGTAAATATTAACATAATAGTGTTACTGAATTACTAAATGAGCTTGAGTACACTGTATGTATAAATGAGTCATGATAATTATCACCACCACCGCACAATCCAGTGGAAAGTTGGACTGAAGATAGAACTAACGATCTGTGATCCGGAAGGCTTGGTGGATCAAGGGTTGGTGGATCAGGCAAAGATTTGTGTAGAATCACCCTAACCACTTTGGCGGCGAGGTATCCAGGAGTTGGCAGTACAGCAAGTGAATTAACTTCATGAATGATTGATTAATTGTTGTGATGTTAGAACGATTGGAACTGAACATTGTGTAGGGAGGTTGGAACATACAAATAGACATGACCGCCCCCTGGTGTTATCAGAGGCGACGTCTCTCAATTGAAGCTCAAACCAACTGAGCTGATTGAGCACAGGTGCTTTAAATACAGGGAAAGATAACTTCATCGGCACCTGCTGATTTCTAATGACCCTCTGACTTTCTTCCCAACAGGCAATTGCATACGGAACTGTGAAAGTGGCGAGTCCAAACCTTACAAAGGAAGCGTGGTAGAATATTGAACAAGGGCGTTGAGATTGGAGACATGGAGACTCATATTCTTTAGTTCTTTCGGTAAAGTCACGTAGATACATTTTTTTAATAAAAATAATACTAATAAAGTGAATTAAAAAATATATATATATATATAAATCACTAATGTAGACTGTAGCCTGGTTCTAAATCGGAGTGAGTGTACTGGCAGTCCATAATGTACACTGTAGCCTCGTTCTAACCTGAATAAAATAAAATAAACAATAAAAAGCAAATTAAAATAAAAACTAAAACCACGACGTTTCGATCGCTACACAAGCGGTCGTCATCAGGAGAAGGGGTTTAGCCTCTAAAGGCAAACTGTTTATAAAGTTTAGAGACGCGCGTAGCCCAAGTGTGTCAGCAGCATGGGCGGGCAGCTGATGTGAATGTAGAAAACAACTCAGCAGTTAGTGGGTCTCCACCAAAACGGCCTCCAGGCAATCATTGCACCTCACTCCACACACCCACACTGCTGACGGTGGAGGTTGACAAGACAACACAAATCAAGTCATGACCCAAAGTGGTTGATGACATCTTTCCAATGATTTCTGAGTTTATAACCTTCCTCTCGGTTGAAATTGTGTCTGTGTCTATATATGGATGGCTTCATGAACGAATCTTTGTTGATAGCCAGTAGGCTTGCAAAGTACCATCGTCTTAGAGAAATAAATTTCGTATGAGCCATCCGCATTAAAATAATGATCGGCCACGGCAGAAGTATTGGTCCTGCCGTGTTTAAAATCTGCCTTATGCTCACGAACACGGTCTAAGACATGTCGCTTAGTTTCCCCAATGTAACTGCTGCTGCAGATACAGCTTAGTTTGTAGACGCCAAGATATTGCATGTCAGGAATATTGTCCTTCACAGATCGGATCAGATCATGAAATTTTTGTACTGTGTTAAATCGACCTGGATCTTGTGTTTGTTCATGATTTTGGAAATATTTTGGTTACCCCTGCTGTGTATGGCAAGGCGATGGTTTTGATTGGATCCTCAGATGGCTGCTTCCTTACGGTTGGGGTGATGGCTTTGCGGATTGTTTTGTTGCCAGAAAAAAGGGGAACCTATTCTCATATTGTGGTAGTGGCAAAGGAGGTCCCATGATGAGATATCATCCCTCTGTTTCAATTGAGATAACTCAAAACGCTCATACTTACTGATGTTGCTGACTGGTATCTTATCGCTTTTGAGGGTTGCAGCAATTTCAGATCTTGTCACGTCTGCAGCGATGTGTCCCAACCCCTTAAGAGCTACATCGACCTGGGCAATAATGTCATCTACTGGTATGTGTTTGGGGGTGACTGCGAAGTTCATCCCTTTAGCCAAAACCGACTTTAGACCATCGGAAATTTGGCTATTACTCAGATTAATAACGTTGTCAACGTTGTAGCTTTGGAATGAAATGTTCTCTTCTGAATACTTTCTCCTTAATATTTCAGTGGAGCACTGTATCTTTAGGCTAATGGACTTACCCACATATGTTCCACATCGTTGGTAGATCGGAGCAGGACAATAACTCCGTGGTGGCGAGATGTTAACTACCTCGCTTGGTATACAGGAGGTGGTGGGTTACATCCGGACCCTGAGTCCTGTATGTTTGGAGTTTGCATGTCTCTCTCCCCGTGGTTGCGTGGATTTTTCTTCGGGTCCTCCGGTTTTTCCCTCCACATGCGTTTAGAATATTTGGCTGCTCAAAATGTTCACGTTATAAGCCACTTCGTTGAGCTATAATTTGTGGCCAGGTCGCTTCTGAAAAACAGCTACAGTATATAGATAACTCAGTGGGCCTTCCTTGGGAAAATAAAAAGTTGTTTTTAATAGTTATATTTAATATATATTATATAATAGTTTTAGTTGAACTCGGAGCCACACTCTGGGACGACAGTGAAGAGTGTGGGTTTTAATGAGGCGAAAAGTTTCACATACGCCACCATGAAAGATAAGGGCAAGAAGAGTGGCAGCTGTTAAATTGGACTCCGCTTATCAGTTGGGGACTAATGAATGATGGCGCTCAAGCCAATGTAACGTGTTAATAAATAAAGTCGGCACAAAGGTGCAATCGTAAAAGCACGAGGCATTACAACAAATGCAAATGCATTTTTTTTCATACACAAAACGTACCACAATGAAAGAGGTAATTAGGCTGTAATATATTTTTGGTATAATGAAATAATTAACCACCATTTTTAAAATCATGTTCACATCATGGGAAATATATTTTGTCCAGCTTTTCGGATTTTTCCCACCAAATTTAATTTAACACCAATTATGTCACCGGCGTCACGTGATGAGACGAAGCATTTCACTTGGATCTCTCGCAGGGCGGCGCAACTCTTTGTTAGCGAATGGTCCACGGAATCGAGAGATCACAGACCTATACTTCAAGTGCCCTCTGTTCCACACAGCAGGGGGCGGCACACCCCCTACTATCCTTGCCACTGTGAGTAAAGTTTGTCCCGTGACAGTGAAACCAAATTTTATTTTATCTCAGAGCTGAAATGTACCAAAATTAAGCGAAGAATCAAATCGAGTGTGATTGGTTGTACAAGCATTGGTGGCCAGGCTGGATTTGAACGTAGGATTCAGTGATGCCACTTCAGTGTCTTTTTTCTGGCTGCAGACATCTTAATACAGCTCCAATCAAAAACACCTCAATTGCAGTCTATCTTGCACATTTGGTGTATTAGACCCCTTCAACACCGTTGATTTTTATGCAGACCTTTAAACGATGCCTGCAACCCGCAGGTAGGGAATTACTATAAAAGATGAGTAACTTACACATTTTTATTGCATTGTACTTAATATGCTTTAATGTCGCTGAGAACCGCTTTCGTTCAGGGAGCCTTCATCCAACAGTGGATTAACCATGGCCGTTGACGATGAATATGGAGTGTCAGTGATTCGGAGACAAGTTTTGGAGGAGGCAACTTCTTTATTATCAACATTCACGGTCTCGTCCACCAGCCGGCGCTATTACACTACAAATACACTGAAAAAAACACCCGATTGTGCCGTGTCGTATTCGTTTCTGTGCCACACTGCCCTGGCCTTAACAAGCGCATCGCTAACATCACGTGTCCCCCTATGATGCCAAAAGGCCCTCTGGGAGTGCATACATTTGAGCAGTATTAGTTCAATACATCCAAGTTCATGTTTTTTCCCCATGTAGTGTCTCATCAGCTGTCAGACTTGCTTAAAGCTATTTAAAGCTATGTTTTATTTTTACCAGGAAAGGCCCACTGAGCTATATAGATCTGTTTCAGAAGGGCCTGGCCACAAATGATAGCTCAACGAAGTGGCTTATCAATGTTATAGCAGTCAAATATTCGAAAAGCATGTTTCTAAATGTAGAGGGAAAAACCGGAGGACCCGGAGAAAAATCCTCTTGACCACGGGGAGAACACGCAAACTACAAATATACAGCAGGCGTCAGGGTCGGGATCGAACCCACGACCTCCTGTGTGCCTGGCGAGGGAGTTCACATCCCGCCACCGTGACGCCAAACAATGTTGGTGAACTGCCCGATATTTATAGACAAGGACCCTCTCGAAGATATGAGTTCTATTTTGACACAAAATTATATAACTCAAAATAATTAGCACACTTTTTTGGAAAGTTAAACAAAATAAGCAGGAAATATACACAGTATGTTGAACATGAGAAAACTCATACATAGGGAACATAAGATTTTTTGCCGTATACCAGGATCTACGTAATAATTAGAAAATGTTTGCTTTACTGCACACAACGGTAAGGCTTCTCTCCTATAATGGCAAATCCCAGCGGAATTTAACGGGTAGCTAGCACCGTGCTTGACTAAACTTTAGCGTTGAAAGCTAGTCGAGGATATTCGTGCTTCAAAATACGGTTTTAAAACACTGGCCAAGGAACGGCAAATGTTAACTGGAAAAGAAGACAAATGGATGTACAAAAAACTACATTTTGTTTGTGGTGGAACAGGTCTCAGAGGCTGCCCAGCAATGAATTGACTCGGGGAAATACTTGTCCACAATATAAAACCGAGTTTAACCGTTTAATAATAATAACATTATCACATTGTAATTCACTTTTAATGGCCATTGTTCGAGCGTGGTACATTTAAACATTCTGTAACCATAAGACTAAATGTTCCAACATTTTGTAACACTTTTTCAGTATTTTATATATATAATCTATCTATACAGTAATCAACGGTTTGGGCAAACACAGCTTGGCATATTGCAAATACCACAACATTTATAATGCTGGTAAAACTATTATTTAAGCTGGGGTAGCCCCAAACTTCACTCCTTACAAGTTATGGACTACACAGCTTCACACTGCCCCATGTATTTAAATGTCGAGGCAGTGGACCTCAAGTTCACCACCTCTCAGAGAAAGAAACTGAATGGATAAATCCGCTTATAAATTAATCACTTACATTTGGTCTTCATTGGCTGTACAAAATCATCATCACACACGATGACAGTCCAGGTCCTATTTTTGTTTACCAGTCATCATCAGATACAGTGCATCAAATATATTAATTCGCATTTGAATAATGGCAACTTGTAACGTGCACAATTTCACAAATGGATTCAAGTTTCGAGCTCGACTCGGAAGTCCAGAAGAGATCATCAGGCCGGCATATATGGAATGTGAGATTATATTGGCAGACAGCAGGACTTTACATTTCACTCACTGCGGTTTAAAGAACTGCCCATCTAAGGAGACCTCAAAAACCTCCCAATGATGCAAGTGAAATCAAGAAAGCCATTCTGGAACACGGCAGAAAGACTCTGAGCAGCACGCTAGACCAGTGGAAGAACAATTGGGGGCATGCAAACGTCATCCCGAGTAAGCAGCTCATCACTGATCCCACGACCATCAAACTATAAACTAAACTATTTTTTGTTTACCAGGTGAGGCCCTTGAGCTATGTATCTGTTTTTCAGAAGCGACCTCGCCACAAATGATAGATCAACGAAGTGGCTTATCACGTGGAAATGTATAGCAGCCAAATACTCTGAACGGATGTTTATAAATGTGGGGAGGGGGGGGGGAGCCGGATAACCACCTCTTGTTTACCAGGCGAGGTAGTTAACATCTCACCACCGTGGCACCCCCATCATCCATCCATCAAGAGGCTTACTGCCCCACAAGCAAGCAACCAGTGGAACGCATCGTGAACTCATGTCCCATGTGAGCATTCTCCGAGGGCTCGATTGGGATTCCATCTCTATGCCCAGAAGCCAGCAGCGAATTCACAACCTCGGCATTGGTGTATAGTTGCTACTCAATTCAGATCCATACGAAAGAGGTTGACGACTGTGTTTTACACACAGCCAGACAAAAGGGTTGAATTCCGGTATCACTTTGAAAAGTAGTGGTTAAGGTATGTACAATGAAACAAAAATCTATGCAAACTTCATGGACCAAGGACCTTCACAGTGAACAGTGTGCCAGTGTGTACCGAGGGTCAAGCTGCCGTCACGTGTTCGATTATGGAAGTGCACAAGCACCACTTGCAATCGGCATCACAGTTAGGTCACGGGTAAACAGTGCATCCCCGAACAAAAAATGCAGTCGGATATTCCATGTATAAGTGGTGGGGGGTTCAGGGAAACCCCAATAAAATGCAAGGAATAAAACTGGACACTGCCAAATATCAAAAACTGAACGTGTACGTCAAAGCCGACTTAACACCTTATGACTCAAACCAAACTTTAGCCATCCATCAATTCCGGTTCCGTGATTCTGCACTTGCTCTATTACTATAGTACTATACTGCCTTCAGCTTTTATGAACGACTGGATTAGCGATTTGTCGTATTATTTGGCTGTATAGCAAATTAAAAAATACAATAACTTTACTATGCAAGTAAAACAATTTGTGTTTTAAAATTAGTTTTTTTTGTATTTAGGGCCCCTTTATAACATATGCTATAGGCCCCGCATGAACTTAATCCGGCACTGTACAGCGGTGTGGTCAATATCGGCAACACAGGAGACACAGCAGTGGCAAAGCACGTGTGTGGCAGCGACCACAATTAGGAGCCCTGCATGGCTGTGTTAACCTCAGGGGGGATTCTCACAATTGGCACATTCTTCAAGGAGCAGCATGTTTTGCTTGTGTCCAGTGCATAGAAAGTAACCTCAGGTTTGATCCCTTGATTTGTTTCAGGGTCAATTGACGGTCCGGCTGACGGTAATAAATATGCGGTGCCATTGTTTTCAACGCTTTGCATTTCATGTCGTGACATTTCTAGAACGAGAACTATATAAAAGGGACGGCACATTTAGAATAACAATTCTCCCCGTGCCGTATATGAAAATTTCACATCTTCGGTGGGTGAAGATGGAAGTATAATACATTTTCGAAAATAAATAGCCGACAGCTTAAAATAAATAATGGAACAATCTCTTTGCTACATGTCACACTTATATAGCAAAGAGGTAATGTGGATGGTATGAAGATACTTTCTAGATTCCCAAATAAGTAATTCACCTATTGTGTTGCCAAAAACATGATTAGGAAGTTAATTACAAGAGAATCAAAGGTACATTCATTAGCAAAGTATACACGGCTACATTGAAATGCACACACTTGTCTGGAAGAATTGGCTGTGAGTACAAGACTTAACTTTGATGCTCTGGAATGTTTCCTTAAATATTTGAGTCTTTTGTCGCCCCAGTGTTATCTCGATCATGCTACCCAGTCATTTCACGAGACAAAGAATCCACGTGGAATTCTCCTCAGACAGCGCTGCGTCACCCCACCCTTGTCTCGGCGCGTGGCAGACACGGTTACTTCCTTCATCAACGGAAATTGAAAATAAGTCCGTCGTGTGATCGCGTGGCCGTCGGAGCCAGGTCGCCAGTCACGTGACCCGACACTCGCCGCGCCTCCGACTCGCGGGCAGGATCACCGACATCCACCCAAGCTTCTGAGGGGTATTAAGTTGCTTAAAAACTTCGATATCCACAAATGAAAACGTTGCCAACTTCACCTTCGAAACCGGTTGGCAGAAGGTGATATCAAAGTCCCGCCGATAACTCATCAAGTAACCCCATTTCCACACAAGGGGGCAGCATTTTATCACTCGCAATCCTGCAGCGAACTCGATATTTTTAATGCTCGAGTTGAAATTCTTCCAAACATGATGCCACTTTTGGCAAGAAATTCACAGCAGTGATGTGATATGCTTGATATCGTTTCAGCTGAAAGCATACCTTAAGATATATTTAAAATAAAACAAAAATGTCACCCCGAATATCATATCTAGGCCCAATTTCAGGATATTTTTTGTATGCATTCAAAAATCGAGAACACGTCCTGAGGATCCACACACCTGGTAATTATTCGGGTTATTAGTCAACCGGCAACCCGTTTATTGATTACCGGTTCCGAAAGTCAAGAACCGGTGACCAATTCCAGTAAAACGTTATTCATGAATTTACTGATTGGACACGTTAATGTACAAAAGGCACTGTGGTCTCAGTCATAGCATCGTATATCTACCCTTCAACTGGTCGCTTGCTTGGTCACGCCACCACTGGAGTGAGCTCTAGAGGGTGGTTTATCTACTTTTTCATGCTGACCAGACGTTTCGAAGAAGTGAGCATACCCACACTTTACCCTATCCACACACGACCTGTTGATCGAAGATTTGTGGTGTATCCATTCATCGTCTTGGCTGGACAGAGGTGGTGGGGGTTATTAAGATGCTGCCCCCATTGTTTTAACTGCGACACCGGGAGCTGGCCGATTGTTTTAACCGCTGGATCGCGAGTGAAGTGTGCTAACCTTGCAACCACGGCAGCTCCCCTCCTCTCTCAGTTAACAAGGTGCTCATGTTGTGTTTTAAACCGGCTTTTGTCACGTGTCACTGGTATTGCAAAAACATGTATTCTAACCACCCGAGTACGTAACTAACCGTACGTCTGATAGGTACACCCCACGCAGCAGCAGCATCAGTTATCCAAAAGTTCGGATTCCAGCGCGGTCATGCTCACACTTAGAGACCCCTGCACAAGCCTCTCCACAAGCCTGTTGTAGGACTCCCCGTCACCAATATCCTGCAGCCCTTTCAACACGACACTCCATTCCACGTCGAATTCCTTGGAGTTAAACCAGGAACTCAATATTTGGTACTTTTGTTCATTCCGGTCGTGCAGGTGGTTGTACTGGAGCTCTTCAATCTTGTGATTCGCCACACCCAGGTGGCGCATGAGCGGCATGAAGCGCGTGTCCGGCACATCTTCAATGATGTAATGGAAGTGATCCCGAACTGCAATAAATAAAAAAACAGGGGCGAACTGAGCAAAGCAGACCCAGAATTCACTTCTAAAAGGTAAAGGCGCAGCCCTGCAATGATTTGCTCAAACCACAACTGGTGGAAGAGGGAGCTCTACATTGGAGGCTGACTCTTCTTCCAAGCTGGCAGGAGATATCTTAAAGGAAATTGGGGGAATTTCCACAATTTACCCCAGCACACATCGCCTGGTCAATCGATTAGGGTGTGGTGTTTCCTATTTATAATCCTGTAAGTCCAGCCTGTTAACCGTAACACCACGGGCAGCAGCATATTAAATAATCAACTTAAATGATGTGGTGATGCTGCGTCATCAGTAGTGGTGGACAAGCACAATTTCGAAAAAGCTTAACACATTGTCCAACGACACTGCCTCAAAGGAAACATAAACAGTCGGCGATGTTTCGAGCAATGGCCCTTTTTCATGACTTAAAACGTCACCTGTTTTAATTTATTTCTCATATAAAGACAGTGTTAATGATGAATTTGAGTTTTTTTTACTCTTCATTAATAATGATCATGAAACTTATAACACTTATCATTACTCAAGAAAGCCTCAATGAGTGCATATATATTTTATAGCTTAGTATGTTGAGGGCATATCTTTAATCCTACACATTTTGGGTGCGGTTGGTGATCACGCACACAACGTCATGTGTAGAACACATCTTCCCACAGAGCTACGCCATGGCAAGAATATGGGAGTACAGAAAGTATGGTGCTGACCCACCAGTGGTATTTTTGGAGTATTTTATCCCACATGTAAAATCCTTAGTAAGTAGCTCAATATCACAAGTGCGGTTGGCTATATTCCACAGACCTCCAGCCCCAAGCCTCCATAAAATCCTGGGCAGCCCTGGGTCCAAGAAAACCGCTTAGATATCCTACATGTCTTTTCTGGCAAAAAAACTCAAGTTGGCAATTGATCCATGGCAAGCACAACACATTGGAGTATTAAGACCTAAGAAATAGAAAAATGATGCTATCGGAAAATAGTGTGGAATATTTTCGAGAATGAGCCCAGACAAGAGCCTTGTACTTGGCAATGCACACAGAAGTGGAAGAAGGCAGGAGAGGAAGATAGGAAACCAAGTGGATCAATGCGTTGATAAAATATCTAGAATGAAGAGGATTGAGATTGAATGAAGCAGTGATACCGGCCAGACAAACAGAACCTCGGGGGAAATTAATTCAGGTCCATCATCGCTATTGAGTTTACAGATAATGATGGGTGTCACACATCAGCGCTCTCTCGTCAAGGATGTTACAGGGCCTGCGTCATCTTATATTCCAGATTGTAGAGGTATTCTGTGTTTTATGGGAATTGTTTTGAGAAACCCAAGTGATATCAACAGACCTATTAAGTTTGGATTGACAAAAGTGGTGTTTTTCCTGCGATGTCTTACTCAATTTGCAGTTTGGTGGTTTCAGCAGTGGTATCGATGGTGGTATCGGTGGTGGTGAACCGGGACTCATACCCTGATTTCACATACAAAAGGCATGCAAGATGAAACACATTAAAATATGATGTCTCAGATAGAAAACACAACTGCAAAGCCTTTACACTGCTGGCTTGCAGTGCAAAAATTCAGGGTGCACTCTTTTTAAATGTCAATTATTGGTGGCAGACACAAGCACACGCATAAAATGTACTTCCAAATACACCATAACGGTTATCATCCCTACGATTCGGCGTAACCACAGTACTCGTCACTGCCCATAACTTGTGCTGAAAGGACAAGAACCATATCAAGTCCTGCATTTAAAAAGAAAGATGTAAAAATATAACATTCCTGTAATTACTGTGACAGTAATAACTCCGAGTCAATGGGAAACGAGTTTTTTTCTGAACAAGCAATTTCCACGGAACGTATCCCGCTCGTTAAGTGAGACGCGCCTGTATATGTTTACAGATGACTGCATAGCCCAACAGTAAAAGATACGCAATTTACGTGAAAAGAAAATTAACTTTTTACCAGTAGTTGCCCAACCCAGTTCCACAAATCTGCAACACAAATATAACAAAATTAATGACAATCAATAAGACAAGAAGTTAGTGTGTGGAATTGTGTAAAATGGATTATAGAAATCACCGAAGTAACTAATGGTTCACGTTTTTAGAAGCTCTAGTTGGGGTGGGCTGGGTGGTTAAAAGAGGGCTCAAGGCTGTGTTGAAACATTGAGCCGATAAAGATGAGATTCTGCAGTCAAATCCCCGGCTTCTACAGCAACAAAACCAAACCTTGTGTCCCTTATTTGCCTCATTGTCTTCTTTACCAATCACATGTTCGCCTTTTGGCGTTCTCTGGTCTGACACTGGTGAGATTAGGCCATAAAGATGGCCGTCTCTGGTGTAGGCCAATCAGTTCCAAAGACAATGCATTTATTATTATCAGAGCATGTTTGTTTGTCACACGCATCTGTGGTTAATGCAGACTTGATTCCTTGCAAAATTGATTTATTTGGCGTTTGAGCATCTTAATACCTGTTTTATTGCCAGAAAGGGTAAAACCTATTCTCATTTTTTATACTTTGATGCTGGCAAAAAAGGTCACATGATATATTCAAATTGTGCTGTTGGTGTAATTTCGATTTAAAAAGTTGTTCAAGAGTGAAATATTTTTGGGGCTGAAACGTCGCTCAGCTTTTAACATGTTTTTGCTTACCGAGCAATTTTCGGGGATCTTATCTCGCTCGTTTAAGCGAGACACACCCATATATAGTACACAGTTTAACACGGAGGCTTTCACGACCAATATTATTCATAACAGGTTAGTTTTGGGTTAGATCGCGTAAAATATTAATGTGTCATTAAACCCGCGACCACCCAACACAGCCCATGGTAATGTTCGTCACATAAACAAAACCGGAGGATTCCTCCACAATTCTGCCTTTCGCCTGATGAGACTGGTCGTAATTACCAGCGAAACAGCATACTCGAATTGTAAATCTTGTGGGTTTACTCTCCAACACACCGGTATGCTGAACTATTAACGAATTGGCATGTTTTGTTTACGTGAAAAACCTTACCAATTGGCTGTGTCGGGTGGTGGCGGGTTTCACGACATTTATATTCACGCGATCTAACCGAAAACAAAACTACGTATATATTAATGCACTTTGCAAGCCACTTTTAAGCAGCATGACAAAGTAATTTCTTGTACCCCCACGTTCGATGTGGGTTTTCTGAAGCTGCCACTGGGCAGCCGAGAGGGGTTTCTACACAGAGATCAGGGATTTGACGACACGGCCTCAAAAACTGGAGCTATTTTTTTTTTTTACCAGGCAAGGCCTGCTGAGCTATATGGCTCTTTTACAGAAGCGACCTGGCCACAAATGTTAGCTAAACGAAGTGGCTTATCATCATATAGAAAATGTATAGCAGCCAAATACTCCAAACACATTTTGGTTCTACATGTGGAGGGGACAAACCGGAGGAACTGGAGAAAAGTCCACACGGCCACGGGGAGAACATGCACACTCTAAATATACAGGCATACGGGTTGAGATCGAACCCATGACCTCCTGTATACCAGGCGAGGTAGTTAACATCTCCCCACTGTCGCGCCCCCAGTCTAGCTTGTTAAAGGCAGAAAACAGCATTCGCTAAATCATTTCTAGTGCAGCATGACATTGAAAACTCAATAAAAGGACTCACCGCTGAAGATACTGCGGGGAGATTGTTTCTTCATACACATGACCACAATGATCACGATGAATAGACAGAGCATGCTCACCGTCACAACAATCACCGTGTTTGAGTGCTCTGATGAGGAAACACAGCAAATGCATACCAGCACACGATTAATAATGAATTAGTCCTTTATTCCAGGCTGTGACCCAATCACCTGGAATGCACCCAAATCTCTGCTTCCTCATCACACCTCAGTAGCTAAGTAGGGTTGAGCCTTGAAAATGAGTGGGGGGGGGGGTGACCACCATTCATAACAGGTGTTATAGGCTATGGAGATACTTCGTGGCTAGCAGAGGGCAATGGAGCCAATCCATTATTTTACCCTACTTTAATGCTTCCGCGTCTGTGCTCCGTGTCTACATCAACACGCGCTGATCAGTATGAATAACGGTCGAAAATTTGACCACAACCTCATCCAGCAGTGGAATGACGAAAACATCACCGAGTCCTGAGACTATCTTTATAGTCCTGTTACTAAGATGCTTGGCAGAGTTCCTTCACCAGCATTCTTGAAAGTGAAAGTAAAATGCCTCTGGGGGGGGGGAGGGGGATCACACACATATGAGAATAGAATCCTACTTGCAGTACCACCATCTCCTGGTTACCATGCAATTTACATTTGAGCCGGGCACGGCAGCGCTTTGTAGGCGATGTGACCCCGCGCTTTGGATGTGAGGGTTGGTGAATCACACACATGAGGTGGCCAGCTATGAAGTGGCCAGGAGATGGCAGTACAGCGAGCGGATCTTGAGATCCCTGTTGTGCACACGCTGGAATTTACCTCTCCCCTGAAAGCGTCGCCGAGTGGCGAGAACTCTTCCACGATTGGTCAAATTAATGTACAGAACCTTGTGTCAATCCAATGCTTAGATGAGGCCCTCCCTAAATCCGTGCAGATCACTAGGGTTATTTTGACCGTACTTCACCACATTGGTCAGTGTGGGTCGGTGAAGGTGGGTGGTGTAGATGGCGGGAGGATGATAGAAGAATGGATTTTGGTGCACTTCCCTTTGCTGCCCACAACTTAGCGCAACAAATTACTTGAGACAGTTATATTTTGGAGCACAGCACCGGCACAAACATGTACATTGCATTGTCGATGTACAGCACTCACTTTTGCATTGAGTATTGCTGTTGGGTTTACAGGGTTGTTCGGTCTCCAGGTGTTGATCTTCACACCTGCACCATCACCCGGTATAAGGAATGCCATTATTGACATTTATCCAATGCAACACTGACAACACTCACTGACAATCACGCACATTTGTAAAAGGGTTTTTACAATGCAGCACTATCTCCTACTTTTAGCACCGAAAGTGGAAATGGAGAATGTTATGGAAGTGTACGGCCCTTTTGCCAATCCACTGCTAAACGAGTGCCTCCCCATGCCGCGTTGGTCGCTGGGATTGCTCGACGACACTTCACCGTGCTGGTCAGTGCGAGTTGGTGAAGGCAGGGAGCATGGATGCATTATTATTGTTATGTTATTATGCTTGTTTACTCAGGAAAGTATCACCGAGTCTCAAGGATCTTTGTCAGGAGGGTCCTGTCAAACTTTTTACAGTAAGGGGTGATGTTGCTGAATATAAATCAAATTGTGTAATTTGCATTACATTTTTTATAGGATTGGGTTGTTTTTGCCCCAATTGTATGTTCTTTTTATAGCTATGGTAGGATGTCAAAGAACTCGGATAAACCCAAGCAGAGCAGGGGGAGAACAAATTAACTATAAAACTAAACTATTTTTTCTACTTTACCAGGAAAGGCCCACTGAGCTATGTAGCTCTTTCCCAGAAGCAACCTGGCCACAGGTGACAGCTCAGCAAAGTGGCTTATCACGTGGACATTTATAGCAGCCAAATACTCTAAACGCACATTTCTAAATGTGAAGGGAAAAACTGGAGGACCCAGAGAAAATCATCATGACCACGGGGAGAACACGCAAACTCCGATCGAACCCACGACCTCCTGTATACCAGGCGAGGTAGTTAACATCTCGCCACCGTGGTGCCCTGGGAATCGAACACAGGGCCTTCTTACTGTGGCATGAGTCTTAACACTGTGCTACCCTGCCGCATCACAGCACAGTAGTACAGAATTATTAATTTGCTGTACTTGTCCCTCCACTGCCCACCAAGTAGCCCCAGAGCCGATAACAATCTGTGGTGCATGGTGGTCACCATCCAAATGTGATTGAAGATTAGCTTTGCTTCCAAGATCTGAAGAGATTGGGCGCATTCCAAGTGATTTGGTCATAAGAGTGTTATCAACATTGTGAAATCTCTTATGCATGCAATAGTTTAATTCGAGACGATATGAAGGATATGGTTTAATCATGTGAAAATACATATTCAGACTAAAGCTTATATCTCGATTCTGCAAATTGCGCATTGATGTCACCTTTGACATCAATGCACAATTCCTGGTGCATGACTTTTGTCATAACCACTTACCGTTAGTTCTGAAGCCAGGATGAACAGTGACTCACCAAGACAAAAATACGTGGAAATTAAAAAAAGCATTCCGTGACTACATTTCACACTTTAAACAATATTGCCAAACTGACACGCAGCAGCTAAAACAAATGTTCTGAGGTCAACATGGTTCACAAACCGAATGTTCTCGATACAATTAAAGGTCCAATGAACATGAATACGAGTTGTTACATAAGTTATCGCAGACTCTACACCGAGATTTCATAGTTTAGTCTAAAGCCATGTTGCAATGACTGTTGGGAATGGCCCACGACTGGCCCAGATGTGGCCCAGGTTTAACATCAGGGCATGCATGCTGTTCATTACGATGTCCGACGCTTTGCTCCTCGTACTGGCAGCAAAATGTTGGACTTTGCGTCGTAAACGTGCGACGCAACCCAACAACACACGGCAGAGCCACACGGCACAACCGCAAAATATACGCAGCCGTAGGATTTGTGTTATCCGTGTTGTTCTTTTAGCCCAGCCGCCACCCTTGCCACCCCATTACCCAGGAGAATCGAGAGTTGGCCAATATCCCCACTTTACCTTAAGCAAGAAAGGCAGTTGTGTCCATCACTGTACTCCCCGTCGAGGCAAGGTGCACACTCGGTGTCTGTGAAAGGGGTGCCTGTTTACGCAAACACAAAACAGTCTCCGTTGAGCCCAGCGAGTTCATCGTAACCTGTTGAGCAAGTGCCCCTGCACAGGTGGAGATGCACAAAGTGATTATACTCAGATTGCTCATTCTGTCCCAAGTGCGATATTCCGGGTTGGGTCGTGTGTACGGCTATCTTCTCTCCTAGCTTGAATCGCACACTACCCCTTTCCCATTACGATGATGTACTTATAAAATAAAATAACTTTATCGGTACGTCTTCCAACCTGAAGAGGCTCCCACAAGGCCATATGGGAGGGCGCGTGGCAGTTTGGCACCGGCTATCACAGAGTGTGGTCGGGTCGCGACAGTTCTCTGCGTTAAGTACAGTACAATGTCTTTAAAAACGGCGTTATACCTCTAAATAAAGGGTAAAATCTATTCTTATTTTTCATCCTTTGATAATGGCAAAAAAGGTCCCATAGATATAACTGATCAACCCGAGCTATAAATGCTCCGATACGTGCATTGCCTTTTAACTTTTCTCATTCTTCCGTTCTCTGGTTTGACACTGGTGAGACTAGGCCTAAAGAAGGCTTTCTCTGGTGTAGGCCAATCAGTTTCAAAGACAACGGCATTTATTATCAGAGGATGTTTGTTTGCATGTTTTATCACAAGCACGTGTGGTAAATGCAGATTGCATTCCTTCCGAAAGGTATCTATTTGGTGTTTGAACATCTTAACGCCTATACTCTTTGGTTATTTCAGTAAAATCACGTAGGTTGACAAAATAATAGATCACGACGTTTCGATCGCAACGCAAGCGACCGTCTTCAGGGAGAGAGACGGTCTTCAGGCGAGAGAGATCGAAACGTCGTCTACCTACGTGACTTTACTGAAAGAACCAAAGAGTATGGATTCCTGCAGTCATGAAAGCTTCGAATCAAGATCTTAACGCCTGTTTTATTACCAGAACGGGTAAAACATATTATTATTTTTCATACTTTTCTACTGGCAAAAAAAACGTCCCATAGAAACATGTCACCGTTAGACTATGTCACTGCCCTTTACAGACTTGACAACAACAAAAACTGGTAAGTTGACAGCTGATAACAGCATATGGTAGTTCCACCTTACATGGCTGTGTCGTCTTGTGTCCCTGCTGGCACGTTTGGCAGTGTAGGCAGATCCATGAGTAGTGCGGGTTCACGTACATTCCGTCCCGGCAGCGACACTCCGTATTTAACTTATTGGAGCAGTTCTTCGTCACGACGAAGCCAGCAACTGCAACGTCAAAGTCACCGGTGTGAAGCCACGTATGGCGCATTGCCTGAGACCCCACGGTATTATCTCCTCCTGCGAATGTGCGTTTTCCCGGCTACGCAAAGCCCAACGCTCATTCATAGAATTGGCCAAACATACAAATGCGTGGCCCTCCTGAACAAAAAATTGCAGAGAGAATCAGTAAGGGTTTTCCTGGATACATACAAGGGGGCTGTTATTAGGATTACTCAAGTAGTTACCTGCATGTATAATGACAGTTACCTCCTTTTGTAGGTCATTACATTTTCATTTAATAACTACCACTACCCAATAAATGTTGTATAATTAACTGCACACAAACTCCTCACTAATGTTTGTCATTAATGTATGTATAGATATACACTCGTTGGTTCTTTCGGTAAAGGCACGTAGGTAGAAATAAAAGAAAATATTTAAAATAAAATATATTTGTTTATATACCAACATGACTTTACCGAAAGAACCAAAGAGTATGGATTCCTGCAGTCACGAAAGCTTCAAATCAAGATTATAGATATATATATATATTTTAAACAAAGAACACGTGGATTTTGTATTCCTCATGGATTAATAACATTGAGAATAGCAATGAGGATCCTGGATTGGTATATTTGGTCAATTCATTCATTGTTTGGCACGTGGGAGACAATATGATCACGTGGAGAAACCCCACCACCCATACGAGGGTGTAACACTAAAAGCACCAGATACAGAGCATGAAGAGTCCACGACTGAGTTGCGTCTTCCGAGTGACCTTTCACAGCCCAAGCCGACAACACAGGGTTTTCCCAGGTCATCTCCCATCCAAGTACTAACCAGGGTCAACTCTCATTGGCTTCTGAGATACAACGAGAAAAAATGCTTATTCACGATTATTTGTTCATAAGTAAAAACTAACAACAAAGCAAATGACAACGCAAAACACAACGTCAGCAGTGGCATTCAGCACTACTTCAGCAATGAAAACACCAATGCTAACAAAAACTAAAGTATGACCACATGTTTCCACAAGAGGGTGAGCGTTCACAGAAAAGCCACAGTCACTATCAGCCCTCGACTGAAAAATAAAACCCGATGACTCATGAGGAAGCATTTGCTCGGGGCTACCAGATTCTGGGTTTTAGTGCAGTTCGGTGGTTTTTTTCAATCCGCTGTGAAACGTGAACACGTAGCGAAAAGCTCATAGGTTACCCTAATGCCGTGTGTCTTTCTCAGACAATATCGAAGGCAAAAGGACATGAAAAAGAGACAAAGATGGACATGGAGAGATGGTGGTAATGAGATGACAGTAAAAGTGAAGAAATTTGTATTAAAAAAGAGCGTATTTGCACTACTGGATAACCGCATGAAAAAAAGGCAAAAAAAACTGGTTGAGGGTTTTCCGCCTAGCAACAAACACAACATGTTTGTGAGACACCAAGGGGGGTGCTACACTGTCATGGTTAGCAGACTGGACATGCAATCCAGAGGCAGCCCATGCCTTGAGCAAACAACCAACTGCATGCTTGCCCTTTAACCTTTCAATCTGACAGATGAGGACAATCAGTGCATTGACTATTCAAATTCCGAGTGCAACGATGGCTGGGTTCCTGACTTTTTTCAGAATGGTAAATCGATTCCGAAAATGGTGACCGGTTTATCCGATTAAGGAGTGGACCCGGCTCAGCACTGAGTTCTGTATTTTCCCAAGACAAACTACGTCTTTCATGTCTCTTGGCTAATTCCAGCTTATTCTGCAATGCGGTGCAGCAGCAAAGTGGGTGTCTTACAATCGGAAGGTTACAAATTGAGGTATCACTTTGTGGATAAGTCAACAGTGGTGGTCTCCACTTTCTATGACCCCCCTTTCCCCCCACGATAGTAATGTGGAATTTCCACGACTGTTCAGGGCTGTAAACAATTAATTTCCAAACATGTTTGAGAAACAATTTTGATTGTTTAGACTGAATACCTGTACAATGCAATCAGATTTTAATATAGCCATTTGAGGCAGCAACTATACACTAACAAATCACTTTGGCTCGTTTCTTCTCTGAATTATTTTCCCATTTGTCCTATTTGTTGCCTTCTTTTAAATACGAGTGTTTGTAATCAGTGTACATTTCTCCATAGTACTGATTTTTTGCTCACAGTTTAGCTAGAGTCAATCTTGACTATCAAGTGAAGTAAAAATTGGGATGTTTGGCCAATTTCTGTTGGGGTATTTTGGGTGACTGTTAATGATTTTCCTCATCATCAACATCCTCATCATCAACATCCACTGTAAGATGAAGGCCTTCCCATGATGTTAGAATACCTCACTATCTCATGATGCCACAATCGCTCCGTGGGTCTTATTCTCTGGCATGTTCTCCTCTGGGTCTCATCCACCAGATTTTGCTGCCCTGTGTATGTGTAGTGAGTCACTTCGAGACACGAATAGTAGGAGGCACAGACGTCTATTCTACGCTTAAACGCTTCTGTTCACACACGGGATAACTACAGACGGGTCAGGACAGCCGGCACATTGCCTGACCCATGACGCCGAGGAGACAAATACGCAGCACGACGTGTTCCATTCCAAACGACAGCCCCGATCCAGCCTCGGGACCTCCCTGTTATGCCCCCCAGCGGGGCCTGGCTCCGCCCTCGGCCACAACCCCTTCTGGAACCTACCAGAAGGTTCTGGGCTATACCCCACGTGTCCCCTCTGTCACCTTTGCCCTACATCCCTTACCCCGGTCCATCACGTGCCCTGTTAGCCGTCCAGGCTCCGACGTCCTCTCTCTGCCAGCAACCAGCGCTACGCACCCTAGTGACCCATTCCATGGCACTGCATGCTCTGCTGGCAGATCGGCTGCTACACCCACAATTAGCCTCTGTGTCAGGAACCAGCAGCTACGCGCTACAGTGACCCATTCTATGTCACTACATACGTATACTCTATTTGACACGTAGGTTTTTGCCACAATATTATTCGTAATAAAGATTTTTAGGGTAATGCGATCTCACCCAAACACCTTTATTAAGAGTATATATACTCTGTTATGCTTTACAGTTGAGACCTTTCAAATACAATTTCTTTAGCACCTTGGTTTACCTTTTAGCTGCTCCTGACTCTCAAGGAGCAGTGACTCATTCCATCAGCAGGTAAAATTAATTATTTAAGATCTTCACCCCCATATGTAAACAATACATGTTTTTATTACCTAATTTACATGTATGAATCACCTGTGTTGTTTTTATTGTTGTTGTCCAGGTCATCTCTTCCCAATACCCCAGATAATCAAGCGTTCAGGGTGGCAAAACTCGCCTGACCCTATGAGCCACATACTAAAATGTTCACATGGCCGTAAGCCACAAGACGCACGTTACATGGGTGGCCATGTGGTCAGTTCACTCACACCGACTGGCCATGCTGTTTTTCACTTAGAAATCCGTGGGAGCACCCCAGGAGTACCCGTGTCTAAACTAAACTATAAACTAAACTATTTGTATTTTACCAGGTAACTAAGTGGCTTAAGGTATGGAAATTAATAGCAGCCTTCTCTGAATCCCATGTTTCTAAATGTGGCGGGAAAAACTGGAGGACCCAAAGAAATATCCACACGATCACGGGGAGAACATGCAAACCCCAAATATCCAGGCGTCAGGGTCAGCATCAAACCCCCCAACTCCTGTATAACACCGCGGCGCCCTTGGCCACTCCATGTATACACAATTATAATTTGGAACGCAAATGCATGTGTGTGTGCGTGCTGACCTGCATCAGCACTCTCGACATCGCATGCACCGATCGGAGTGGTTGGGTTCGTCCATGTACGTTCCTGGAGTGCACAAGTCACACACCGTCTCCTTGCCCGATGCTTCACAGTCCCGTACCTTGAAAGAGCCTGCGTGGAGATGCGGAGCGTTAACACGGAAACACGGACACCGGCACAGACGGCCGCCAAGACTTGCTGCAACGGGGAAAATGTAATATTGTTTTGACATTAATTCAAAAACATTCTTCAATTAAGGAACAAAAAATAAACAGTACTCTCTAAAAATATTTCCGACTCAGTCGTTATTCAATTCAATAAATCCACTCATGTTTTTAACACTGTCTCAACCTGTGTCTGACTGAGCATAAACATAATATAGAAAATTAAGAAAAAAATGGGAGGAAAAAGGATTAGGGAGATACGTTCTTTACCAATCTTGCACAGCTGCCAAGGCACAGCCACCAAGGTGCGAAACCCCCCAGTGGACATGAGACATGAGCTGTGGTTTTTAAACCTACCGTGCATATTTCCATAATTACCAACCATCAGGCGTGATTACCATCAACGGATATCAAGCCGATTTGCAAAAGATGCACTGCAGGGGAGCAGTGGGATTGCAAACACTGAGGTTTGACACACACTGGTGTGGAGAACCCGAGTTCTGTAAGCATTTAAACTGTTATTTTTAGCAAGTAAAATTGTGTAGCGGAGACAGAGTTCAGAAGGGCACCTCAAGTGCCACGAGCCACGAGGACATTAAACGATAATGGCTGCAGTCGGTTTGGCGATTCGAGGAAATTATAGTTGGGGCAGGCGCCGCCATGAGCGGCACCACCAAGATCCTGGGCTCAAATCTCAGGCTGCCAGCAGAGGTAAATCTAGGTTCTCATATTTATGGAGTGGACAGTCCAGACCCAGTCATCCAAACAATGGCTGTACAAAAATAACAATTTGCTGTACAAATTGTGTGTGCTGAATACTACCTTTTCTTATTCTTGGTTCTTTCAGTAAAGTCACGTAGATAAAAAAAATAAAGACCGCTTGTGTTGCGATCGAAACGTCGTGGGTTTTTTGCTTTTATTATTTTCAATTTTTTTTCATAACATTTTTAATCTGTTATTTTTCTTTTATTTGATATCTATGTGACTTTACCGAAAGAACCAAGAATAGGAATTCCTGCAGTCACGGAAGTTTAAAGTCAAAACTACCTCCTCTGTTTCTAAGAGATACATATGTAAATTTTGGCAAAACAAAGGCAACCATAAATGAAACAGTTGTGGAGCACAGTGGTTGTGTAAGATAGACTCTTCCAGGACATTGAGTTAAGAGCCCATGTCACTTCAAAGACTGTCAATTGCTAATAGGGTTTATTAAATGTATCCATATGCACTGTTATATACTGCGGGTGATGCAGGTATTAAACTTCCCTGCCACAGCGAGCATTAATGGTCATATCAGGAACTGGCCCTGGACATCTCCTTCACCGACCCACATTTACCAATGTGGTGAAGTATGGTCAAACAACACTCATGGCCAACACTACACGAGAAAGCTTTATCCAGCAGTGAATTCGCTAAGGGTTGTAATTTCTTTCAAACATTTTTTTTCCAGTTCAAGGTACAACATCAAATGAGTCATAATTGATTGTTGGGTCAGATCAGGTAAGTAAAATGTGTGTCGTAAACCCTCCTCCACCTGGCACAACCATGTAATAGGTTTGTCACGTGAACAAATGTGACAATGTATTCCTCTTTTAGCACACTAGACTGTTGGAGAGAAATTCACAACATTTAACAATTTGGTACGACGTTTCACTGGTAGTTATAACCAGAATCATCAGGCAGTTGCAAAAAATCTAGTCCAGCTATTATGAATCATTGGTCACGAAAAGTCTATGTGTTTAATGTACAATATCCAAATGTACTTCCCAGAAATCTACATGAACACTAACTTGTACAGCATCAGAATATTAACCAATGATGCCAACTGTATGACATTGATTTTATACAATTGGCATGCTACTCATCAGCATAACTGTAAAATAATGTTTTATTTTATCATTAACTGACACATACCAATATGACACAGAGGACAGCAATGGTCCTGAAACTTGTATTGAATTTCCTGTTTGCACGTTGAGGTCCTTCCCACCATGGCTGTCACAACCTGAAACACAGCAATATACACCAGAGTTAATTTGACTTCAAATACTGTAACTACTGCATTTCTAAATACAACACTGCATAAACACTTGTAAATGCACTTTGGTGGCGCTTCATGTTGAATTACATAAAACAGACCTGTTCTGTCTCCACAGAGAAAGTAAGTAGATTTCAATCAGCCTGTTCATTTTCCAGACCAATATAATCCAGCAAGCAGCATTCATTTAACAAACCCGACTGCTGATGAGATTCCAGGAGGTAAAAAACTGTACAGATTGTGCTCGCTTCAAACAAATTTGATATTGGTCTGGAAATCCAATCGGTCATATACTCTAAACCAGTGTTCTTCACTACTTTTCAGAGGGGGGTCACTTTCACCAATGAGACATCACACATTTGAAACCATTGGGGTTTGACAGCAGCACGATGATGGGGCGGTGTTTTCACATTTGTGTTTTACTGTCGGGGGCCACACGTCAGGGGCCGCACTAAAGGCCACTCGGGGCCACCAGTGGCCCGCGGGCCTTGCAATGAAGGCCGCTGCTCTACCCTACGTAGAGTCTTGGTGATCTGTGCCTAACGCCTGACACTCTGCAGGCTGTGTGTAACGCTGGGTAGGCTACGTCGATTTTCATGCAATTAAAAAAATTCATTAAAGGCTTATTAAAATTGTAACAAATTATTATTTCATTACAAGAATAATAAATGTTCTAAAAAAATACCAGCGCCGCTTTAGATGAAAACCAAGTGCGCCCCTGTGTTTCTTTTCGTTTTGCAAACCATTACACAACAATAATCAATAATCCCTTCAGTTTATCTGTGGCAGTATTTGGTATTTTTTGAACATCGAATAGAAATAGAAACAAAGAAGAATCACTTTTAATTTGAACTCGGTGCAGTTTCACTTTGATGACCTTTGCTTGCACTTTTACTGCATCGTGATATTTTAAATAACCCCAACATCAAAGTGCTCATTCAACAGCATTCATCTCAAGGAAAACTTTTGGGAGATTATCGTAAATTTACACTAGTTAATAATAACATATAAGCGATGAACTAAAGCATCTACACACACGTACACGCAGTGACACACAGCATATGACAAGCCGGATGCAGACGTGGGTACAACGCCAAGGTGCTTAAGATCCAACAAGGGGTTAGCAGTAACAGCCTCTTCACAATCATCATAATTATCATCGAGACCCTCCAGAGTGAGTGAAATAAGTGCCGCTCGATGGGAAGTCTCCATTGAAAGTTGCCGAGACACGAGAGAGAGTAAGATCGACTCAACAGGATTCATGCCATAAGAATGTGAAGTTGACACCACCAACAAGGGTAATTAGCACCGCAGCACCAAGCACACACACACACACAAGTAAATTAAAGGACACGTGTTATTCCGTTGACAATTATCTCGCCTTATCCGGTGCTGCTGTACATGTGCACGCTCTGTACACAGCAGACGTTGTGCGCGTCATACTCTTAGGTTTTTTCGGTAAAGTCACGTAGGCTAAAACATAAAATAATAAAAGTAAAATTACGTTTCGGAGGCAACACAAGCTTCCGTCTTCAGGTGGAACCGTCACAGCACGCTTGCTGTATCAAGTAAAAGTCAATAAATGTACTGTGACATTAGAATCCCCAGCCCCTTAGTCCACAGCTGGATGAAGGTCCTCCCCAAGACGTCGTGCTGGTCGCCGGGATTGGCCATGCTTCACCGCTCAGGTCAGTGCGGCTTGATGGAAGGGGTTGGGGGGGGAGATCCCCGGGACGGGTTCAGACCCGGCGACACTTGGCCACTGACGTGAGCCGTGATTGGGAACCGATGCAGCCCTGGTCGGGGTTCATCACCTCGCGGTGCGCGTAACCGCTGCGCCACCGCTCCACACTTATACACGTACCACTGTACACACGTGCAGCACACGTGCTATACTGTACTTGTATATGCTCAGCACTGTATTATGTGCCGCGCTGTACACGCACGAGTACATCACAGTCCGAGTGCGCTGTACACACGGAATATGTACGCAGAGTCGAGCTTTGCCACCCGAGTTCGATCCCCCCCGCCCACGGCACAACACCACCAGAGAAGATTATCTGAACCAGTCCTCAAATGACTACCTGGGCGGAGGTGTTACACATCGCCAACAGGGAGAGACAAAGGCGGCCGGGCGTGGTAGCTGGTCATCAATGTTATGATGGTAGTGGGGGGTAACTTTTAATTTGTCTTTGTCGGTAGTAGGGTGTCGGTAGCAAGGTGTTGTTAGCAAGGTGTTGTTAGCAAGGTGTTGTTAGCAAGGTGTTGTTAGCAAGGTGTTGTTAGCAAGGTGTTGTTAGCAAGGTGTTGTTAGCAAGGTGTTGTTAGCAAGGTGTTTTAGCAAGGTGTTTTAGCAAGGTGTTTTAGCAAGGTGTTGTTAGCAAGGTGTTGTTAGCAAGGTGTTGTTAGCAAGGTGTTGTTAGTAAGGTGTTGTTAGCAAGGTGTGTTAGCAAGGTGTTGTTAGCAAGGTGGTGTTAGCAAGGTGGTGTTAGCAAGGTGTCGTTAGCAAGGTGTCGTTAGCAAGGTGTCGTTAGCAAGGTGTCGTTAGCAAGGTGTCGTTAGCAAGGTGTCGGTAGCAAGGTGGTGTTAGCAAGGTGTCGTTAGCAAGGTGTCGTTAGCAAGGTGGTGTTAGCAAGGTGTTGTTAGCAAGGTGTTGTTAGCAAGGTGTTGTTAGCAAGGTGTTGTTAGCAAGGTGTTGTTAGCAAGGTGTTGTTAGCAAGGTGTTGTTAGCAAGGTGTTGTTAGCAAGGTGTTGTTAGCAAGGTGTTGTTAGCAAGGTGTTGTTAGCAAGGTGTTGTTAGCAAGGTGTTGTTAGCAAGGTGTTGTTAGCAAGGTGTTGTTAGCAAGGTGTTGTTAGCAAGGTGTTGTTAGCAAGGTGTTGTTAGCAAGGTGTTGTTAGCAAGGTGTTGTTAGCAAGGTGTTGTTAGCAAGGTGTTGTTAGCAAGGTGTTGTTAGCAAGGTGTTGTTAGCAAGGTGTTGTTAGCAAGGTGGTGGTTGTGCCGAAGTGAAGCGATGGCGCCCCGATTACACCCCAAGGGGTTTCGATGTCCGCACAGGGACAACATCAGTGGCGATATCCGGCCAACCCGTCTCTGGAGTCGGCTGCAGCCTTTACACTCCGTGTGTGTGTGGGGGGGGGGAGACAAAGGCGGACGGGGGTAGTTGCCGGCCTTGACACGCGGTGCTGTGCAGGCTCCGTGGACTGTATCCGCAGTGTCCGGTACATGGCTGGTCCACATGTCTTGTGACCCACATTGCTCTAAAAAAATCTTTTATTTTGGGGTTTTAAAGCAATGTTACTTTAAAGTATCAATTAACGTTATGGGGGTCAATTAATTGGGGGGGGGGGGGGTCACGAGACGTCTGGACCACGCTCCAAATGTTCGTACTGTTAACGTATTTCGAGTCTTTGGGGGTCTAAAAGGGGGGCCAGACGCCGTGATATCTGATCGAGTCCGTGTGCAAGTCGCACGGCAAACAAGGATGCGCGTGTTGTTTGTGCCATCAACATCACACCACAATAAACAACATCATCTGCGAGCCGCTACAGGCCACGTGGGGGGTGGATGCCCCCGGCCACAACCAGCAGCTGGTGCCGAGTGACCATACTTCACCAGCGCGACCTGTCAACATGCTGCCTCGTCAACAATTACAACACCACGCCTCGAACTTTGCACCTCCACACACACAAACACATCATCTGGACACCGTTCCGGACTGTAAGCTCTAACAGTGGTATTGAAAACCGTGTCCCTTAAGCTGCTTTTAGATCGCGACAACTTGCTGAGTTACGCGCGTACATTTCAGAGAAGATTAATGAACTCTCGCCACCCTCTACTCGATGATGATGCTGCTGCAGTCCGTAGTATTAATAGTAACAAGGTGTGTCAGGGGGTAATCATCTCTTACCGCAAACAACAGCAAGACGAGCAACATCTTGCACAGGCAGTCGCGTCTTCCCCTCCTCACGCCGCGTGCCCACGAATTCCACCTCGCCATGGAGTATCTCTTAACAGCTAACGAGGCAGAGTTTAACAAGTAAAGAGACACCCCACACAGCAGCAGCAGGAGGAGCAGCAGCAGGAGGTGGTGGTGGTGTCGTCTGTCTGCGGCGACGTCTCCGGCGAGTCGTGAAACCCCCCCCCTGTGACGTCACGCAGCGGATCCACGATTTCGCAACGACGACGACGACATCCCCTCGGCATCCAGCAGCAGCAGCAGCAGCATCAGCAGCAGCAGCAGCTGTCTCTTACACAAAACTCTTGCGAAATACACCTGGGGGGGGGGGGGGGTGGCAGGTGAAGGGGGTGGCAAGTGAAGGGGGTGGGTGGCCGGGCACCACGCCCGACCGCTTTTGTCTCCCTTGCGACGATGTTTCCTACGCACCCCAAACCATTCGAGGTTGAGTCGCCATCGGGCTACGAAGCCCAGGGGCGGTGCGTGTACTCGTCACTGCTATACATTTACACTCGATAAGCGACTGCGTTGAGCTATTATTTGTGGCCAGGTGCATAGCTCCTTGGGCCTTATCTGGTAAAATAACAAAAAATAGTTAAGTTCGTTTGGTTTTATGGGTTTGCGTCCAATTATTTCAAGGATCTGTGAGCTCCTCGCACAATCCAGCCTGATGACTCGTGTAGGCAGGCCAGCCTGGATGTTTCAAACCGGCGCAGATGACCTGCAAGCATGGGAGCCTGCGACACTTCACGTGGCCTCAAGGTGCACCAAGCCTGGTACAAGCGCTGTGGTGATGTCATCGCCCCCAAGTGGCGAACGTCCGTTGTTGTTGTTGTTGCTGCTCGGGTAGCGGTGGTGTTGTGTCGGGGAGACAGAGGCGACCGTGGTGATCGCCACCACCATTCCCTCGTGTGGTGTTCCGGCCTTTATGGGCGCTACTTGTGAACAGCACTTGCCCCCAGTAGTCGGTTAAACGCTACACGAGGGTGGGATCTTTGTTAAGGCAGCATGCTCTGACCGCATTATCATTAGAAGCTATGCTATCCCGAGTATTTACAGCAATATACTACCAATTGATCAGTTTTATTAAATGTATGATTGGATAACACGCAAATATTACTGCATTGAGAAGGCGCATGTGGATGACCAGCTATTAAAACATGCATGAAATTATCAACATTGTGGAGGTGTGGGGGTGACTAAGCACAATTACAATGTAATTCAAATCAGAATTAAGTTGATTCATGATAGATTTTTGGGTCGGATCGCATTAATAAAATGTGTCATACACCCTCCACCACCTGACGCAGCCAATTAAGAAAGTTGTCACTTAGACCATCGTGGCAATTTATTCCTGCTTGAGCATACGGATATGTAAGAGTGCAGAGCACAACATTTAATAATTGGTTACGAGATTTTACTGGTTGTTACAACCAGCATCATCAAGCAGTTTCCAGAATTGGAGAAAGGTTCACGACTCACGTTTAATTAGGCGATGTGACCCAAAAAAACAACTATGAATCATAATATTGGTCGCGAAAGCCTACAACAGTGTTAAATTCGCACTGCAGTTGTGTGCCTGCTCAAACAAGCAATGTGTCAGGGCACTTTGCATTGCCATTGCCTCTCAATGAAATGTTTTGTGTGTGATGTGCCATTTGGATCCCGCGTATGTGATTGTGGGACACAATGTGTTGTTACACTACCAATACGTACATCGTGTGCAGGCGAAGTCGAGTTTTGACTTAAGTAACAGTTAACCAAAAGTATTTTTATACCGCCTTTATGAACAAAAAATCCATAGTTGTTAAATGTTACTTCAGTAAAGAATAGATCCTGTCGTGCACAGGATTTTTTTTTTTATAATTCATCAGTGATTACTTTACTTGATGATTCCACTGCAGAAAGCATGGACCAAAAAATAATGGCAACATTTTCCAGAGCATGACCATCATAAAAATGTATCTTGGGACCAAGTAATGCTTTTTCTCGGATAAAAATACAGCTTATTATTAACTTCACAGCTGGATGAAAACCTACTGATGCCCCATTTGGCACAGGAGTTGTTTGACCATAGTTAACCACGCTGCTCAGTACAGGTTTGTGAAAGGCGTGCCAATCAGGACTGGTTCAGATATTAATCGCCACTCCTATCCGTGGCCAGGAATATAACTCCGCTTGCCAGATTTATATAGCGCAGTGTCCGAACCACTATTCCACCATTTTACTTCTGCAGTCGAGTCGAAGTCAATATGAATGTGGTGTATGTACACATTAAATACTGCACTGTATTGTGTTCATATGTTGTAGTTTTAAATGGGTTGTGAAATGGTAATATTTCTCACGCAGCAAAACAAGTATTTCACCTCAGAGTAACTTATACTTTATCTTACCCAAACACTAATATGCACTCCACAGTTTAAACAAGTGCGTGGCTTCCTCCATTTCGGCTCGGTGGATAATTTAGAGCTAGAGAAGGTCAAATTCACGATTTAGTTTCAGGACAAAACTATTTTTTGTAATGGCTACCTTTGTACAGCTTTTGTGCCAATATGGATTGGACACGTCAACTCATTTAACAAGAACATGGATTTATCTCAGCTGGCCGCGTGAGATTTGAGCCCAGGACCTTGGTGGTGCTGCCACACTGCTCTGCCACGGCTATTATCTCTGAACCACCCTGCAACTGTTTAATATCCTGGCGGCTCATGGCGAGTGACACGTAGCGACAG